GTAGAAATAAATATTCAAATGATTATATCGTTGCAAAGGCGATAAGGAGACCTTTCAAATGAGCTATCGCGTGAACTCGGTTTGTATTTAAAAAAATCGTCGATTACGTCATTACGCCGACACTGATGACGTAATGTCCAACACATATATAGCAGTTGATTGCCATTCAACCCCTGTACTAACAGAGCTATTTAATAGATGTCTCCATAATAGCAAGATCCCTAGAGAGTCTAGTAATACTCTTACACAAAAAAGGGAACAAATGTGATCTACATAATTATAGACCTATATCGTTGCTTAGTCAAGTATACAAACTATTTATGAAAAGTATTAACAACCGGTTGACCCACAAAATGGACAATTACCAACCGGTTGAACAGGCTAGCTTCCGCAAACATTGATAAAGAAGGCAAATGAATACCAACTACCCGTATTTCCTACCTTCATCGACTATGAAAAGGCGTTTGATAGTATCGAGATGTGGGCCATAGAACAAGCTATTAATAATTGTAGAATAGATTAGAGATATAGGCAACTAATACATAATATATATGAAAATGCAACTATGATAGTACAACTAGAAGAAAATACAAATCCCATCCCCATTAAGAGAGGAGTGAGACAAGGAGACGTAATATCGCCAAAGCTTTTCAACCTAGCCCTAGAAGACGTCTTCAAAACTACAAATTGGTCAACCTATGGCATTAACGTTAATGGCAACAAGTTAAACCACCTCAGATTCGCTGACGACATAGTGATTATAGCGAGCACATTCGAGGAACTGCAAATTATGATGGGGAACTAGCAGGCAGCTCCCAATACGTCGGCCTAAAAATGAATATGAAAAAAACAAAAATAATGACAAACACAGATGATCCCAGACGTATAACTATAAATGGCAGTGAGATAGAACAAGTCCAGAAATATATCTACCTAGGCCAAATCCTGAGACTTGACAAAGAGAACCAAAGTGCGGAAATTACTAGAAGAGCAAGACTAGCATGGCAGGATTTGGAAAACTTAGTTGGATACTTAAAAACCGCAAAATACCCCAATACTTGAGGAGCAAAGTGTTCAACCAATGCATCCTTCCTATCATGACATATGGATGCCAAACCTGGACCCTAACCAAGGCAAACATGAATAAACTAGCCACAACAGAAAGAACAATGAAAGAGCAATGTTAGGTATACGACTGTCAGATAAAAAGAGGAACGACTGGGTAAGATCAAAAACAAAAGTCGAGGACATAACAACAAAAATTGCCAAACTTAAATGGAGCTTCGCGGGCCACACTGCTAGACAAAAAAGACCAACGTTGGAATACTACAATACAACATTGGAGACCTTACGAAAGTAAACGACCAAGAGGAAGACCACAGATGAGATGGTTGATGACATTAAAAGAATAGCCGGAACAAATTGGAAGTATGTTGCTCAGGATAGAGACCGATGGAAGGAGTTGGGAGAAGCCTATGTCCAAACATGGAAGATACAAAACTAAGAAGAAGAAGAAAAAGTCATTCAAAAATTAAAATTAATGTGTTTTAAGATTTTTTTTTAAAAGTCGTCAGTTTCTGAAATAATAATGAATTTAATCCATACATTTGCATCATACTGTATAAGTAATTCTCAAAACTAATCTAGTACAACAACATAAAACATAAAAGTGTTTTTATTAAAAATTAACAAATAACTTTGTTATGACGTATTTAAGCAATTTTGAATTGAATTAATTATATTTTGGAAATATTCAAATATTGCTGCAAAGATCCTACTACCGAATGATCCGGTTACCAAACTATTTATCTTTTGATTCGCCTATACGAATCAACAGCACACTTTGCTTTAATTGTAAGGAATGATCTACACGAATCTTTACAAACACATACATTGTATAATGAGGTTCGACCCAGATCATGAGAATGATTCCATTAAGATATATCAAGAATAAAATGTACGTAATAATGCCAAGTGACATTTACATTGATGGCTTCAGAGATAATAATATACGTTCATTATACAAAATATTTCACCTCAACTTTTCGATAAAGTTATTAGAGGCGAGTTATTTAAGATTCTGTTTGTGCCAGTGTGTTATGGAGAACATTTTTTAGGCTTACTCAAACGACACGGAACATCGACAAAAAAGGGGACAAAACAAAATGCGCGAATTATAGAGGAATCTCACTTCTAAACACAGCATATAAAACCCTCACAAACATCATTCTTAGTAGACTAATCCCTTATGCTGAAAATGTCCTAGGCGAATATCAAGCTGGGTTTAGGGCAAACAGAAGAGCAATAGATCAACTATTCACGCTGAGACAACTTCTAGAAAAGGGGTGGGAGTATAACAGACTCATACACAATCTTTTTATAGACTTTCGATATGATAGCATAGAAATAAGCCAAGTATGGAATGCCATGGCGAAGTTCTCAATACCAAAGAAACTCATTCGGATGACCAAAGTCTGTATGGAGGGTGGAATATCTAAAGTACGTGTAAATAATAAACTGTCTGGCAGCTTTGAAATCAACAGTGGACTTAAACAGGGTGATGCGTTATCTCCACTACTTTTTAACCTTGTATTAGAGAAAGCCATGAGGTCAGCCGAAATAAAAACAGAATTGCTATCGGTTCAAGGTTCCAAGCTGTTACTTGCATATGCAGATGACATAGATCTCGTTGGAGACTCCATACTATCCACGAAAGACATTTTCAAGGTGGAAGGAGCAACAAGTGAAGTAGGGCTGAAGAATAATGAAGAGAAGACGAAATATATGTGTATAAATAGAACGACACGAAGAGACAGAATAGGACAAAATGTGACGGTCAACACCTTCAATTCAAGAGTACAACGTTTTAAGTATCTGGGGGCCGTAATCACAGCTGACAATGATGTCACTGAAGAAATAAAAGACAGAATCCAATCTGCAAACCGCTGTCTATTTGCACTGGATAAGCTCATAAAATACAAAAATCTCACAAGAAGTTCAAAGATTAAAATCTATAAATCCATCGTTAGACCTGTAATAACATACGGATGCGAAACGTGGACCATGACCAAAGCAAACGAAGAAAAGCTCAGACGCTTTGAACGAAAAATACTTAGAAAAATTTTGGGTGTGCAAGTGGTCTATGGTACTAAAATGTTTTCTGAATCCGGCCTGCTCGATAGGTTGATAGGTTTCACTAGTACACACAATTTTTGTGGAGGCTCCTTTTATATCTACGTTTTATCATTTAAGGGATGAGTATGTTATGTAAATGGACTCCAATATAAATTAAGTAAAGTAAACGTAATTAAAAAAAATTATTTCAAATCTTTTATAAAAGGTATATAATAAAATGCCCAAACGGGCTATCACAATTACATTACAGAACGTTTTCGGAATGTTAATTCCATCATCAGTGTAAACGGAGTATACATGCTATGAGCCACCAAAATATATGGGTCAAAACCCTTTAAATGTTACAAATTTATAGTTGTTTTACATTATTTATAATTACAAATTAGGATGTTTAAGTTACCGTTGGAATTGGTAACATGGCGACGTATGACCCTACATAGGTTATATGGTCCTGAGACGAAGTGTCTTCGAGGACCTGTTGATAACAACTAAAGGTAATTTAACTAATTTTTTTTACTCACTTCACTACAAAATTCATTAATAATAACTAAATAACGAGTATCTCATTAATAATAAATTATCTTATATCGCTCTACAAAATAAACACTTTGCTGTTCACATAAAAACTAAACGTCAAACACTGGATGACCGCCCTAAATAATTAGCCTTACAACTCATTATCGGAACAAAAGAACTTAAAAACAATTTACAATACTTACAACGCCTTCATGTCAAACACAAACTGAATTCGGAAATAAAAATCCGATACTGAATATCAACGCAGAATGGGAGTATCTACTGCCAAAATAACAGTAGTGTGTTCTTTTTGATGAATTGTTGTTTTATATTATAAGCTTATAAATTGGGGTTGATCTCTTTTGTGTCATACTCGATCGGAATATTTACCTCAGATAAGTACGTTTAGTTATTATTTAACGCTACGTTGAGTATACCAATATTGACCTACCAAGAAATAATTTACTCCACAACATTCGATTTCTAATTATTTCCCATCGTCGATCGAGAAGTCCGGAGATAGGTCATTTCAATTATACAATGGTAAAGTAATGAGGAGGGATACAATGGACGTTAACCACACGCCTAAGCGATCTAGAATACGCGGACGATATCTGCCTATTAGGTCAGAGGTTCCAAGATCTGGCTTACCAATTGGAAACACTTTCCACTTAAGCCAAAAAATAGGTTTGAAAATCAATATTAGTAAAACCAAGTCCATGAGAATAAATGCAAGGAACAACACGCTATTTACTATCGACAATATGCAGATTGAAAATGTGGAAAACTTTACGTATCTTGGAAGTGTCATAACAGAAAACGGAGGTACAGAAGACGATATTCGTATGAGGATACGAAAAGCCCAACAAGCTTTCAGCACGCTCAACCCTGTTTGGAGATCTGGCGGGTATACTACAAGGACAAAGATCCGAATATTCCGATCAAATGTCATGTCTGTTCTACTCTACGGATGTGAAACCTGGAAAGTGACAAACACCCTCACAGACAAACTGCAGGTCTTTGTTAACAAATGTCTACGAAGAATTGTCCGTATATTCTGGCCTAACACCATCAGAAACGAAGATCTGCTACACCTGACCGAACAAAAAAGAAGTCGCCCATATAAACTTGGAGAAGATCCATCATGGACGAGATAAGAGGCCAAGGAAAGTCTTGGAATGAGGTGAAGGCCTTAGCGCAAAATAGAACCCGATGGCGCGTTTTCACTGAAGCTCTATGCTCCACTTAGCAGTTCAAGAACCTTTATATATATATATATATATATATATATATATATATATAAAGTAACGAAGAAGAATTAATAATACACTAATATTTCACCTAATACCATTTATTATTATTTATAAAATTGTGAACATTATACATTGTTATGTACAATGACAATATAATTAAATTAACTTCCTTCAACTTCTTTTTCTGGAAAATCCCAATATTGTCTCTCTGCTTTAGCTGTTAGACAATAAATTACGGAAAGAACCACTGAAGTGGCCAATATAATCCACATACATAATCTCCATTCTTCCAATGTCTCATTTTTTGCTATAGTTCCAACCATAAAAGGTCCGATAATACCGGTGAACGATCCTAGACCGTTGACAATGGCCATTATGGTACCTACGGTAAAAAAGATAATAATAAATGAGTATAAATGACTTAAAAACATAAATTAATTCCATTAACTGATAGTCGTATGCGATAAGATTTTAAAGAAATTTTAAAACCATTGAAAAATGATTTTTAAATACCTATTGTCTATTTCTAATGTGGGAAATTTGATAAGAATATTGCCTTACTTTCACATGAGTCTGTCTTCGATATGTCGTTACGTAGGAAGGTCCAAATCTAGGACAAAATGTGTCGTACCCAGAACAAAAAACAGACCTTATAGAGAAAAAGCAGATATTCATGCTTTCTGGTAAGTAATACGCTGCCTTCTATAAAAAAAATCAGAAAAGTATTTCTGGAAAATCGAGGTATTTTCAAATATTCATTCACAAAGAAAGAGTTCATCTGCATGAGCTATAATTGGCGAAGATTATTAAACCTGTTTCCTTTGTTTAATTGTCTAACTAGGCGTATATCATGGCTTCCTCCAGAACTTTGTCAGACGCATCTACTTGTTGTAATCGGTATATATTTTAAAAGTTTGTTTCACTATGTATTTGTACTTTGTAGATAAATTTCAGCCACTTCATCTTGTTCAACTAACGGAACTTACACTTACAGGCGTAGAGAGTTTAGAGTCAGAATCCAAAACGACTTTTTAAGACCCTTCCATTGCAAAAATGGACTGAGACAGGGAGATGGACTGTCGTGTCTCTTATTTAACCTTGCACTAAAAAAAGTAATTCGAGAGTGCCATATTAATACGAATGGCACCATCTTTTTTTTGTACACCCACACAATCTCATACTAGCTTAGAATTGAGTGTCCAAAGCACTGCCTGGCTATTTGTGAAGATGGCAATTGAACAGTGCGTTATCTTGTACCTTCCTATTTCTTCCAAGCAGTGATTGATTGCCGTTATTTTTGCCTGGAAAATTGTGACTAAAGGTCGATTCAGACACATCAGTCACGTCTCGTCACAGTCCTGGCCCCGAACCGAACAATCCGTCATACAAAATATTCTTTAATAGAAATATGGCGCCGGCATCCACATTCATCAGTTGACGAACAGTTTGCCAGCTGTCAGATAGTTGATAGTTTTGTGACCAAACAGGACCGGTTCGGCGACGAGACTGTGACGGGACTGATGTGTCTGAATCGACCTTTACCGGGAAATGTATCCCTTGCTTTGTCAACTATTATACTGGCTTCTACACGCTCAGATGTTTTTAAGCCGTCAGTTTATCAAGCAAATTCTGCTTTGATGGGTACACCTTCCTTTCAGTCTTACCTGCCTGGTATATTAATTTTGAATTTATTGTCAAAGCATCTCATAGCTGTTGCATCGATGGGTTGCCCCATTACGATATACTGATGTACTGTTTTAGCTCGTCGATTAGCTTTCCATTATCAGCACTATGCTCATGATTTATGTGTTGCTAACTATGTATTAATCTGTGCATTACAGATCTGTCTTCACCCTGTATAAAGATATAAAGTGGGATTCAGCAGGACTTCCAACGCCGATGTAGGAGTTGTTTTTATGGCCCCGTAATACACAGACGTGCTAGCCTTTGTGTTACTTAGCAGCCTTATTGCTCCTACTTGCTGCCTCTTTGTCCTCTACGCCACAGACCCATGAGTTATCATTGGTCTAATAGCCAAAGAGTCATTTACCACACATTTTTCTACATCTTCCATAGGATATAGTAACTTTCTGTGTGATTTTCAGTATGTGAGTTTTCCATCCAATTGACAGAGTGGACAGCTACACATACCTTGGTACCAACATTAAAAGCCAATGGGATTACTCCAGTGAAATAAAACAACGCATAGGAAAAGCGAGATCAGCGTTCATAATGATGAAGTCTCTTTTCAGAAGTCACGATTTACCACTTGCTACCAAAATCTCTCTCATTAGATGCTATGTATTTTCTACGTTATTATACGGAGTAGAGGCCTGGACACTTACAAACGTATTTTAAGAATTTCATGGGTGGATCGTGTGACTAATGTTGAGGTCCTACGTAGAATAGGCAAGGAATGCGAGATTATTAACACCATCAAATAGCGCAAACTAGAATATCTTGGCCATGTTATGAGGAATGAACAGAGATACGGCTTGTTGCAACTTATTCTTCAGGGCAAGGTTTTTGGAAAGAGAGGACAAGGTAGAAGAAGAATATCTTGGCTTCAAAACCTGAGAAAGTGGTTTAATACATCGACAACCGGACTATTCAGAATAGCAACAAGCAAAGTTAGGATAGCCATGTTGATCGCCAACATCCGTAACGGATAGGCACCGTAAGAAGAAGAAGAAGAGTATTCCATATGAGCATATGATCAAAATACACCCCTAGGTACTTTGTTTCTTTGGCAAATGAAATCGCACTTCCTCCCAGCACTGGTGGTTTTAGGCCTTGTAATACTGTCTTTTTTGCGAAGTTGATGATTTGGGTTTTTTGAGCATTGACTGCCAGTCTCTCTTGTTTACGCCAGTTATCAACTATATTTAGCGCTACTTGCATTCTCTCAGATACAACCTGGGCGAATTTTTCCCTGAAGACGATTGCAATATTGTCAGCATATCCTAATCATTTGTGGACCGATTTTTGAAAATATCATCTACCAAGGTTGCCGAAACTAGAGGTAATAGAACTCTTCCTTATGGTCGACGTCCACATGCTCTTGATTTGCTGGTTGCTTGATCCAGAGTGGATATTACTATCCTATTCTCCAGGGATGCTCTTATTCATCTGCATAATACACAGGTGTACCATATTGGTAACACAACCAACATTTTACATAGAATATAATATGGCCAATTGATATTTTCTTTCTGCCCTGAAAAAGTGAATAAATATTCACGAAAATGTTATGCCGAACAATTGATACGCATTGAGATTTTTATTGCAGATTCATCCAATATTTAAAAGTCTACTTTATAACTAAACTGTAAAGATTAACCTTTCATTCTTAATATATTATGTATATATCATTTTTCAAAGTAAAACACTTGCACGTCACGATTTCTACAAAGTGACGTCACTTGTATTTAAAATTTCCAGAACATCAACCTTAGAGTTCAAATTTTCCTAACACAGCTAATAATACGAAACCCATACGGAACTGCTCGATCTTTCATAGGCGTCAACATGGTGTAATAATCAGAAAAATGTAATCATCATTATATTGGAAATTTTAGAATTATATTGATTAAATAACCAAAAACATTTGATATTATTAATAATATAAATTTTATGAAATAACTCTTTAAGTCTAATATTCCACAAAATAATAATTTTAATTAAATATATTAGACAATTGTACGCAACTGATACGGAATACTTCAAATTTTATTGACAGTTGAGGGTGTGGCAAAAGTGTATAAAGTGTTGCCGCTTTTTTAGAGTAGGAATTTTGTTTATGTTTTGATTTATTACACAATTTGATCATAATATGTATGAGTATTTATCAATACATATTAAATTTAGATTAATAACTTTAAAAACTAATTATTGTTGTGTATTGTGATTGTGATATGCCAAAACAAATAAATAGTCTGTAGAAATCTGATAAGCTTTCATATATGATAGATTATTTTGAACAAGAAATAATGGCGGGATTTTTACTATTAAAGCCCTAAAAGAGGTAAGTTTAAAATTTAGAATATATAATTTTGTATTAAAATGTTTTCTTATGTACTTTAGTGTGTTGCAGTAGTCTTAAAACTAAGTGTATTTACTGTTAATATAATAGTTTGACAAATAGTTGAAATTTTTAAAATTCCTCACTTACTAACTATTCTGATGTTTTGGCAACGCTGTGGGTTCTGACGACGTAAATCTTGAATGACGTGCAAGCTTTTTTATATGAAAAATGCTATATGTATATAAGTTCGTAAATAAAGCTTACCTCCGTAATGAATAGTAATATCATTGACATTGACCTTCATACCAGAAAAAAAGGGTCCAACCAGGAAGAACGATATTGAAACTAACACCTGGGCTGCCCATCGGTTACATCCAACGTATACCATAAGAACTAGCAATAAAGACGGTACTATGCAAGAAAACGCAGTGTACAACTTTCTAGCATTTAATAAACTCAGCCAATTTCTATTAGTTACAAAATCCGCTACGTAGGCGAAGAATATATTCGCCACCCACAGGGCTAGGAAAGGTAAAGCGGTGGTGTTGGCGTTAGATTTAACGTTCATCTTCAAAATTTCCTTTAGATATTTCGGTAAATCGGTTAAAAGTGTAAAGAAAATGAAGTTATGACTGAGCTGACCAGCTAGTAGTCCCCAAACCTACAAAAATATTAAAAAGTGAACACTTTTCCAAAAAACTTCTTGTTAAAAACAACCAAAATGTGATAAAAAATTCTTTTATAAAAGTAAAAATTCTAAAAAGTTTTACGTAATATTTATTATGTATTTCTAAACGCGCCGTTTCTATTACTTTATTAGAGTGCCAGTATTCAGAAATAATGACAATATTTATGATAAGTCTGATAAGTATCTTCATACACGGCTGTTAAAATCTATATTATTAAAAATTAATAGCCGAAATGTTTGTACTGGTTTCACTTCAGAACGACTGCACCAAATTAGATAATTCTTTTTTGTTGTGTTTGTTATTATCCAGAGAAGGTTCGTGTAAAAGATATATTTCAAAAAATTGTACAGAAATAGTATTTCTGAACAATTTTTTTAAATATAGTGGGAGAACATGTAGTAAATCTTCAACAATTTCTAATGAAAATGTTGTAATTTGCTTCGACAGATTTTTTAGAACAGTTCATCTTATGGATATCATTATGTTTCCTGCTGTCGGAACATGCATGAGTACCCGAAAAAATTTACCCAAATGTCATGGCAAGCTAAATTGACAAGAATCGCAAGTAAAAGATAATGAAACTGGAACATTAGCTATACGATGGCAGGACACAAAAGATTTTATTGTACTAACTGCCATAAGCATATGGCATATACATAGGAGGTATAGATAGATGTTACAGTATCCAATTCATATAATTCTATATACTGAGTTACATACCAGAAAAAAGAAAATCTAATCAGCCTTAAACGCCCACTCTTGGGCATAGGCCTCCCCTGTTAATCTCCATTGGTCTCTATTTTGGGCGATCTGCATCCAGTCCTTTCCTGCCGTTCTCTTAAGATCGTCAGTCCATCTCATCTGTGGTCTTCCTCTTTTTCTTTTCTTTTCCCATGGTCTCCAGTGTAGAATTCGCTTATTCCATCTTTCATCTTTTTGCCGGAGAGTGTGACCGGCGAAGTTCCATTTAAGTTTTGCAACCTGTCTTGATACATCGTTCACCTTTGTTTTTTCTCTGATCCATGAGTTTCTTTTCCTGTCTTTAAGACCGATACCCAGCATCTGTCTTTCCATTGCTCTTTGTGTTTTGGATATCCTGTCGATGTTCTCCTTTGTGAAAGTCCATGTTTGTGAGCCATATGTGATAACTGGTAAAATGCACTGGTTGAATACTTTCGTTCGCATATATTGAGGGAACTTTTTATTTTTTAGAATATATGATAGTTTACCAAATGAGGCCCATGCTAGTCTAGTTCTTCTTTTTATTTCTTCTGTTTGATTGTCCCTGTTCAGCTTTATTATCTGTCCTAGGTATATGTATTCTGCCACCTGCTCTAATTTATTCTGTTTGACTACTATTTCTAATTGGTCTTCTTGGTTTGTCATAGTCTTGGTTTTACTATAGTTCATCTCTAGACCTACCTCTGTCGCTTTTCTATCTAGTTCCTCAACCATCTTCTGTAACTCTTCCTTCTTATCTGTTATCAGGACTATATCGTCTGCATATCTCAAGTGGTTCAAGAGCTCTCCATTTATTCTTATTCCGTATGTATCCCATTCTAATTTTTTAAATATGTCTTCCATAGCCTGATTGAACAATTTTGGCGATATTGTGTCTCCCTGCCTGATTCCTCTTTCGAATTTTATTGGTTCTGTAGCGTGTTCGTTCGTCAATTTTATTGTGGTACTCGCATTTTTGTATATGTTTGTTATTAGGTCCGTGTACCTGTAATCAATTCTGCCGTTCTGTAGTGAGTTTTTGATGGCCCAATGTTCTATGCTGCCAAACGCCTTTCGGAAGTCTATGAATGCCATGTATAATGGAATTTGATACTCGTTCCACTTTTCAATCAGTATTTTTACTGTTAGCAGATGGTCGCTAGTACTAAAACCATTTCTGAATCTCGCTTTTTCTCTTGCTTGGTATTTGTCAAGCTTAGTTGTTAGTCTATTTGTCATGATCTTCGTTAGTAATTTAAATAAGAAAATACCCTTTCTAAATTATCTCGTTGACTTAGCTGAGATTCTTATCAGTACTAGCCGACAAGGATTCCAAAGAAGAAAAAAAAACCAAACATGTTGGCCGTCAGACACAGTGATGAGTAAAGTTGGCGACCATTTACCTATATTAGAAAAATCCAGTCGCTTGAGGTGTATAAGGTGTACACAACATAAGAAAGATAAACGTACCAAATTTATTTGTAAAATGTGTGATGTTCCGTTATTTGGCGATTGTTTTACTCCATACCATGTATAAACATTTATCGTTCATGTACACTGTTGGAATTATATATCCCATACAAAAATACTGTTGGGATATATAATCCCATGCATTTTTTACCAAAAAAAAAAAAAATTAAAAATTGAATTTTTAAATACATTCTTAGTTCTTTTAAATGCTCTAGAACAACAAACTACAGACAAATATATAAAATTTTAAAGTCCATGCACGTGCGGAGATGAATAGAAAATTATATTTCATACCTACTACATACCTGCCTACCGAGATTGGAGAAAATTGGGCAACTTTGAATATTGTTTAAATATGATGGGGATAATGACCTCAATGAATCACTAATTATTAGGCTATTAACAATGTTATTTTCATTGACGAATTTTATTGCCTGAAGAATGGCAAATAGTTCAGCAGAGAATATAGTGAATTGCTTAGGGAGTTGAAATGACCGTTCTTCGCTGGGTGTTACAAATGCAGCACTCACACCATTTATCGATTTTAACCCATCAGTATAAATGTGGATGGATTATGATGACTGAGCTACTTTCCTATTCTTTGGAAGGTGGCCAGACCTGTCATGATCCCAAAAAAGGGAAAACCCTCACCAACCCTGAATCGTACAGACCCATTTCACTACTGAGCACCCTAGGTCTACGAGACCCTAAGTCTACGAGAGGATCCTCAAGGAGAGACTCGTAGAATTCCTAGAGGCTCACTTCCTAATTCCTAATTACCAATTCGGATTCAGGGTTGGACACTCCACACAAAATGCATTGGTTGAAGCAACAACTTTCATTTCACAATCCTTAACGAAAGGAAGCACGTCGTAGGCATTTTCCTCGATGTCCAGAAGGCCTTCGATCAGGTCTGGCACGCAGGCTTGATCGAAAAACTCCACCTTGCTGGACTGCCAACACCTTTCGTTAAACTAATAAATTCCTATCTCTCCCATCGGACGGTTAGAATCAAAGTAGTAGACAATTTTCCACCCCCTTCACTCCACAAGCGGGAGTGCCCAAGGCTCAATACTTGCTCCAATATTATACACAGTTTACAACAGCGACATCCCCGCCCACAGCAAGGATCAGAGTCTCTACTCCTATTCGCTGATGATACAGCCATTCTCACCTCAGGCTCCAGCAGAGAGGGAGAACGACGGTCTGTATTCGATAGATCGCAAGCCTACCTCGATAAGGTCGTGAAGTGGTGCAACAAATGGAGGGTTACTTTAAACCCATCCAAAACCCAAGCTATAGTTTTCAAATCTCCTTAGTGCTAACCGGAAAACTAGAAGAAACGTCCTCTAAAACATTGTTGCACACCTACAAGACTTTTATCAGGCCGATACTCGAATACAAGGCATGCGTTTACCTTTCTTTAGGGAGCCACGATAACGCTATCACAGCCACTGAGCTTAGAATTCTACGCTACTGTATGAGAAAAGACTGGTTGTATCCATCAGCCCACATATACACATTGGCCAACATCACGCCAATTAAGGACAGAATCCTAACCCTCAACAGGAAGTATGTCCTAAGAACCATAGCTGGCTCGAACAACCGAGCAAAACAAATACTAAAGACGCCTTGTACACATAGAGGGCAAATACTCACCAGGTACCCTACCAAGAAAGTTCCATTCCCTCCAGCTAAACTTCTACACAACGCTGGACCTGAACTTCCTGATGAGTATTTTGAAATTCTTGAAACTTTCCCCATCTACTATCGCAGATAAAGACTGCGCGCCATAAACGCTGATAAAGAGCCGTTCCTACCGTATGGCTGGTAACCCCTGAAGTACCTTATCCTTAAGATGGGTAGGGGGTGAAATAGGGAAAGCTTGGAGTTTGTCAAATACTAATTATGACAAACAAGTTTATGGCCAGATTTAGGTGATTATGTTAATTATGGTAATTTGTAGCAGAAGTTTTACAAAAGAAATGAAGACCTATTTATAGAAACAACATAACTGTATTTTTAATATTTTACATACAATAGAAAAAATATAATTTCTATGAAAGTATTGGAAATTTAAATATTATATATAATATCTATAAATAATATCATTTCCAAGTTTCCAAATTCTTTCCTAGAAATTATATAGGTTTTTTCTATTTTATGTAAAACATTAAAACTACAGTTATTGTATGTTGTTCTTGTAAAGAGGTATTCAAATGTTACTCTTATGAATATAATTCAATTGTATATGTCATGTTGACGTTTTATATGCAAAATTCATAGTTTTCGTTGTCAATAACTCACCAATGCCTTTTTATTCTACTGTATACGTATACATGATATAAAATATTTTACTCGTACTGCCGGCAGACGCATTTTATCCAAGACTGTCCTGTGAGACAATGAGCAATCAACAGCTGGAGAAAACCGACAACCCAGCGCGTTTATTCTCCATAAGAAAAGCATT